AAAAATATGGTTATATAAAAAATTCTATATTTTAAGTAAAAAGGAAGTATTTTGATACTTTTTAGAATAAAACTAATTAAATAAACTAGATTACAACTATTTAAAGTATGTAAAACCTACTTTGTGGGTGTAGCACTTTTTACAGTGTGGGTAATAAGTTCACTGTAAGTACACGTAAACTACAGGTGTTTAGGTTATAGGTTCAAGGTTAGTAGTTATTACCCAGTTATTGTAATTACTGTAATAAGTATGCACAACAGGACTGTAAAATAAAGTGCAACCGAGAATATGATTACACTGTAAAAATGAATACGCTTTCTAATCAATAAAATTGTGGCAACAGATTACAAGCAATATTATTAATTAAATTAAAAAAATTAGAATTGAGTAATAATTAAACAAATTAATTCCTTAAAAGTTAACCATTTAAAATGAGTAAAGTTTACACCCAAAAATTTAACAAAAATATCTGACGTCAAAGATTAATTAAGAACTCTTTATTTAATATTGCCAACATTGAAGACACCTGATGTTAACGAGCAGAATTACTGAAGGAGAAAACCGTCATTTTAAAACAAACACTGATCAACATAATGGTGACTTAAATGTACTTTTTTGTTTGTTTGTTGTTGTTGTTGTATGTTTTAGTCATTTTAAATGGTTAACTAATTTGATTAATTATTACTCAATTCTAATTTGTTAAATTTAATTAGTAATATTGCTTGTAATCTGTTGCCACAATTTTTTTGATTAGAAAAAGCGTATTCGTTTTTACAGTGTATGGAGCGTATGTGAGCGCGTGTGTGTGTGTGTGTGTTTCTGAAAGTGTAAAGAGCCTAATATATATGGATGAGTAATTCTTTTGACTAACTTAATCAAACTTTCCATCCATGATAAAACATTTTATTAGGTCACATGATCATTATGGAAGCTTGTTTCCGCGACAGAATTAAAAAAAAAAAACGATTCTATTTTCTCACAATTGCGAGTTCACATCTCGCAATTCTGACTTTATAACACGCAAATGGGAGATGAATGTGAATATGAAGTCAGAATTGTATGATATAGAGTCACAATTTCATGTTATAAGGTCAGAATTGGGAGATATTTTAAAAAAGGGCAGAGATAAAAAGTTGCAATTACCATTTTTATTTTTTATTCTGTGGTGGAAACAAGCTTCCATAATGAACAGATCATGTGACATTATAAAATATTTTAACATGGATGAAAAATTTGATTAAGTTAGTCTTTTTTCCGCTCAGAATTGGACTTAAACTTGCAGATGCGAGTTTATATCTCACAATTTAGAGAAAAAATGTCAGAATTGCGAGATATACGTATACAATTGTGTGTTATAGTCAGAATGGCAAGTAATAAACTTTAAAAAAAATCAGAATTGTTTTTATATCTCGCAATTCTGATTTTATAAAACACAATTCTGACTTTATATCTCACAATTCTGACTTCATATCTCATAATTCCTATAAATAAAGTCAGAATTGTGAGAGATAAACTTGTGAGATAAAAAGTTGCAATTATCTTAAAATGTTTTATTCTGTGGCAGAGACAAGCTTCTTTATCTCACGATTCGGACTATTTTCTCACAATAGCGAGTTTACATCTCGCAATTCTGACTTTATAACATGCAATTGGGAGATATGAAGTCAGAATTGCATGATATAGAGTCGCAATTTCATCTTATAAGGTCAGAATTGTGAGATATGAACTCTCAAATGCGTGTTATAAAGTCAGAATTGTAAGATATTTTAAAAAAAGGCATAACTGGGATAAAAAGTCGCAAATACCTTTTTTATTTTTTATTCTGTGGCGGAAACAAGCGCCCATAATATAAAGAGAAAAGTTCCACATGTTCATGACCTCGATGAGCTTTAGAGGAATGTGAGATGGTTTGGTCACTAAAAAGAGAAAGTCTGGCCAAAAACGGCTTTAAAAACAGAAAGATGTGCATAATTTCCCTAATATAATTTTACCACTTTTCCACACATCATTAAAGAAGTAGTTCACTTTTGAAAAAACGTTTGCTGATAATTTACTCGCCCCCATGTCATCCAAGATGTCCATGTCTTTCTTTCCTCAGTCGAAAAGAAATGAAGGTTTTTGATGAAAACATTCCAGGATTTTCTCCATATAATGGACTTCAATGGGGTCCAAAAGGTTCAAGGTCCAAAAGAGAGTTTCAGTGCAGCTTCAAAGGGATTTAAACGACTCCAGACGATGAATAAGGGTCTTATCAAACGAAACGATCGCTCATTTAATAAATAAATAAATAACAAAGTTTAAGTTTTATAAGCATGAATGCTTGCCTTGCTCTGTTCTGTGTGTGTAGGAGCTATTTTGAGTTTAGTTTAATCTAAATTGTTGTGCTATTGGAGCACTGGAATGTTTTGTTAGATTTAGGATCCTTTATTTTGTAGGGTCTTTTATTTTGACAGTTGTTGAGAAAGTTTGAATAAAAAGATGGCCGCCTCTCACTTTTTAAAACACAAGAAAAGAACAAGGAAGCTTTTGGAACGTACAAGCATACAGTTCTTTACTTTTGCTATCGAAACGCTATTGAATCAATTGAACCCTACTTGGACATTAGTTTTGACATTTAAGTTGTGCCTTTTAACACCCTTTCTTTAATCAACTACCAATTACAAAACTCGTTACATTATTTTAAAACAAAAAAAACTAATTTATTTTCCATATTCTATACAGAAAATGAACAACAACAAAGAAACAAAAAAAATATACAACAGAAATAAATTAAAAGTTTGCTGGAACGATCACAAAATTCAAACACTACACTACATTATTGAGTATTGCACTGCAACAGGACAAAGCAGTGAGGCAGAAGATAAGCAACACACACGTGGCAAGTGGATCAGCCGATGGCAAAATCTCACAAATCCTCTTATATTCCCAAAAGCGGCCGGTGTGAGAGAACTCGGCCATCTCCTTCTTGGCCTCGATCACAGTATCTCTGATGTCCTTCTCGCTGCGTCCCTGCATGCAGACCGTGCGGAGATGGCCCGGAAGAGTGTGTGGTGCCTTCTTGCAGATCGGGCAGAGGAAGTACATCCTGCTTTGGAAGTCAGCTTGTCCGTCCATTGCAACAATATCACCTCAGGATAATGCTCTCCTCACTGCAAGTTTGGAAGCAAAGTGCTTCCCTCTGAGAAATGGTTCACTGATAAGCCCGGCTCAGTTTAAAACCAGCCAATCAGAGCACAAGCTCCCATCAAGGTGTGAACAGCCCATTGCATGGGCTTTAAGTTGAACAGTTGACAGTGAGTCAGCTGTGCAGGTGCTGATGGGCCATTCTGAGGAAACAGGATTAGCTGATGGGCCATCATGTGTACCCGCCTTCTCTTCACTGCCTGGGTGCCCTCTTCGCTAGAGTCGTCAGAAGAGGAGCTGCAATATTGAAAAGGTTTGGAGGTTACACACTAACGAACTGATGGATGAGCGTTGAGAGACATTATAATTATAACAGATTTATAACATAATTATATTACAGATAATTACATACCGTGTCAGGGAGCTGAGCAGGTTTGAAGTGGCCACAATAGCATCTAGGGTCTTCATCCTATAGTGCTGGTTTGCCACTGCATTGGAATGGGCCATGTAGTGGGCCACAGATGCCTTCTGCTGCTCTGTAAAGTTGGCAGTCACATCTGTCTCCACGGTCCGACGTATCTGCTGGCTCGTGATGTTGGGCAGTTTGTAGCTGCAATGGGGCAGAAATATCAGATGAACTCCCAAACTTGAACTATACAATTTTCTAGAGGCTGATCCGTTTAATAAATGCTACTTTATGGTCTTTTGGACTGCTGTCAATACTTACTAAATGTGCAGACGAGTGAGGTCGTTGGCGGCACTCTTAATTTTCGTGCCTGACGAAGAAACAAACAAGCCCCGAGGTCCAACTCGCCCGGGTCCCCGAGTTACAGCCGTTTAAAGTCGGGGGGTCCTGCTTTTTGCTGGTCGGAGAGGGGAAAAGATTTTTTTACCTCAGGACTTAAATTAATTCCATCTCTTAAGCCAACAAACACTTTTTTTCGCTAAGTATCCCTGGCAGTAAATATGATGGCCCATTTAAAAACCATTAGAATAACGAAGTTTCGTTTCACAAGTTCGGGCAGTAAAACTGATGGCTCATTTAACCGTCAACGATCTCATGATGGCTCATTATCAGGTCTGCTCAGAGGCCTGTATTGGGGCAGAAGCCATTGAATGCAGACAATAATGCAGGCCTGGTGAGTATTTAAACATGCAGAATTTATTAGTTTTATCTTAAAAGAAGTCTTTTTACAATCAAACCTATATTTACTTGAAAATACATTACTAGAAATGCATCATTATACTATATTAATGTACTTATATTACAGGCCCGTGATTGCTCAATGAGATCTTCCTCTTCTGGGATGCTGCTCTTTTTCTTTTCAAATCTCAAGGTTTTTTTAATGTGTTTCCTATCAAAATGAAGCTCTTTATGTTCAGTTTACAAATATTTGGTCACATTTTCTCAGTTCTAAGTATTTTAAACTTATGAGATTTTTTGAGAAATAAGCAGAAAAAGTTTCAGCTGCCATGTTGTAATGGCCCATTGACACCCATTGTATAATACTGCGATCTGATTGGCTGGTTTGAGACACTCAGGAGGTTTATCTGGGACCCATTCTGCAAGAGAAACCACTATTCTTCAAATGCTTCTACTGTGCTGATCTGCTGAGAAGATCTGAATTGGAATTTGCTGAAATGGAAGGACAAGCTGAGAAGAGGTAATAGTTGTGTTTTTGTGTATTTACTGTTGAGTTCCATTTAAGTGGTTATTTCTTTTTTTACTTATGTCTCACTCTTTCAGATCATAGTTTAAATAATTGATTCTATATCATGTCATTTTGTTTTTAAGGTCCGCTGATCGCACCGTTGTCCACTGCTTGCAGTGCCACAAACCCCAGGAAAACCTTGCTGTTCACCTGGCCAGAGTCTGCATGAAGAAATGCACGCCCGAGGAGAGAGCGGCCGAGGTTCAGAAAGCCAAGGCTTCGAGCAGAGCGTGGGTTCAGATGAACAGGACCTGGGACTACAACCAGATCTGTGCGCTCCTGCCCGATCACCGCTCTCGCGTCATCATGGTCAAGGAGTTTCTTCAGCGTGGTTTTTTTATCACGAACCAGCCCCGCGAGTCTGACTGTGATGAAGATGATGCTGCTGCTCCTTCATCTGATCTTCCTCAAACGTAAGGGGCAAACCTTAAACGCTTTAAATGTAAATTCTTTTCTCACTTTATGCTATTGATAACTTTAATAGTCTTGTCTGTTATGTTTAATCCAAACAGCCGGTTGGTTCAGAGGGCTCCTGGCATTAAACACTGCCAGAAGATCGTGAGAGTGGCGAAGCCGGACGTGCTCAGGATCCAGAGGGACCTCCAGGCGGGCAGAGAGCTCTCCAACACGGACCAGACGCTCTACCGCTACTACTGCGAGGCGCTCTTGGTGTTTGTCCACATGCAGCGTCCCAGAGCTGTGGAAGCCTTGACGGTGAGTTCATCTACTCTAACCAGTTTACACTTCGGATGTGCTTTAATATTGGCACACTTGTGCATTTGTAAATAACGCCTTCTCGATATTTTCCAGGATGCTGAGTGGGTGAACAAGACCAAGCTGGGTGACAGATTTGTGATCGGCGTACAGAGGGAGAAAACCTCGAGTATGCAGATTGCTCTGACCCAAGAGGAGGAAGCTGTAAGTTTTACTGATACAAACTGTTGATTTCTCTCCACCATTGTTTTAAATGTAATAACTCATCTGTCTTTTATTTCCGTAGTGCTTGGAGCTGTACTTCAGACGAATCAGGCCTGAGAACATTCAGCCGGAGAAACTCTGCAATAGATTCTTTGTTTCGTCATCCGGCATGGAAGTTCAAAGTGTCTCTCGGGACATGAATCGGCTCCATAAATTGTAAGTGCCTAACACAGGTCCATGTGTGTGAACGGATACACTTCTTTGTATCTTGCCTCATCACAGTCACATAACAATTAATATTTCCTTTTTGTTTCTGCAGGTACAAGCTGGCTCCTTTCTCTGCCCAGTGTGTGCGGAGGGCTGTTGAGGAGGCTGCAGAAAAGCTCCCGGCGCAGCAACAGGAGGCGCTGCACCATTACCTGTCCATCAGCGCTGGTGCGGTCCGGCCGCAGGATGTCGTCGACGCAGCTCTGCTGCTGGAATCATTAGTCAGGTACACATCTCTTCATCCATTACTCATCACAAACAATTAGCACAACAAAAATAGCAAGTTTTCATTCATAATTTTTTGGTATATTATAAACCGTGTATTCCTCTCTCATACAGCACTTCTGCAGACGAGACTTCCTCGGCCACAAGCTGTGCAGCTGGACCATCTGGGAAGAGCTTCGCTGAGTTCGTGGAGAGATTTCCTGTTTCGCCGGAGGGTCAGCCGCCATCCAAGAAGCAGCGCGTCGAATCAGGCTTTCCAGATGACCGCGTTTTTTATGATAAGTGGCGGATTACCCAGTATGCCCAGAGAGAGCAATATCTGCTGTGTGAGTCTCTGAATCCATCAATAGAGCATTGACACTCATTAACTCAACACAAAAACTAGGTCATTCATTTACAGTGACTCACATGAGTAACGTTATTTCATTCTGTCTTTCAGCACATTTCACAGTCCGCAAGCCTTCGGCCGCAAAGGTGGCACGGCTTATTACACAGGAGGGATGGAAGGTCAACTGTCCCAAGCCGGAGGACATCGAACGGCTGTGGACACCACCTTCGAAGGCAGCAGTTGAAGATGACAAGTTCATCCTTCACTGTGTGTCTGAGCAGAACTGGTCGGGCATGGCCATAAAAGACTTTGGTGATGAGCGTGGTTTTGGTAAGAAAACCTTTTATTTGTCTTGTAAGGGCAGAAAAAAAACAATAATGTAAAATGTACAATTTAGCAGCCAATAACTGCAGCAAGAACTACATTTACATTCTGAACTGTACATGTAATGTTTGTTCATTAATTAAAAAATGTAATGTGTTCTCATTATTTTAGGAGTCGTGGCAACTCAGACTTTTTCAAAGAACGACATTGTTTGCGACTGCCACGGCAAGGTCATCCCAGCTGCACAAGGGAGGGCGATGGTGCAGGCCCAGCATGACGAGGCCGGGTACATGTTCTTCTTTAAAGCCGGAAAAAGAGATCTCTGCGTCGACGCCCAGACCTTTCCGTGCGAGTGCCACCCTGGCAAAGACACCGTTGGGAGGAGGATAAACCACTCCACAAAAGCGCCCAACCTGAAGCCCTTTCACTGCAGGTTACGTGTGAATGGGGAGGACAAGGACGTCATCCTCTTCAGGGCACTGAAGGACATCAGTGTGGGCGTTGAACTACGGTTCGACTACGGGGTCAAAAGGAAGTCCTTCCGTGGAGAGGGCCTACACCTGGACTGGCTGGATGGTTGAGAAGGCCTTTATCAGGCTGGAGTGGCTGGACTTTTGATTCCTGTTTTAAGGACTAGATTTTGCTGGACTCTCACAGACCATTTGTGTTACATTTTATGACACAAGACTGGGAACTGTGTATGAACTATCAATGTTTTATTTGTCAACTGTGAGCTCGCGAATGAACTATAGATGATTGGACAAAATTGGGAGCTTGCGTATGGACTTGATGTTCATGTAAAAGGAGCCTCAGTAGCGTCTAAACATTGTAGTTTCATGTAAATGGAGCCTCAGTGTGACCAATGAAATAATTGAGTTTGATCTACGTCCTGGAGCTGGAGTGGTTGGATCTCTGACAACCCGGACAGACTCTATTTTTTTCAGACTGTGAGTTTGATCTACGTCCTGGAGCTGGATTGGTTCTCTGACAACCCGGACTTTTTCAGACTGTGATTTTGCCTGACGTCTGCTTGCCTCTCACAGACCATGTGTGACAAATTTAAATGGAGCCTCATTGTGAACTGACAACCCAGACAGACTGTATTGTAAGTAAAGTACTTATTGTAAGCTCACTGTACATTCGTAAAATAACCTGTTGGGTTTTTTTTGTTTTTGTTTTTTTTGTTTACCACAGCAGGATTTTGAATAGGGCGCCACGCACTCTACCCAGGCATCCCAGGACAGTGTCTCCTTCCATCGTCGGCTCCTCAGAGCTCCTTGAGGGATGCTGAGAGCGAGCCAGAACGGGAGAACCATTTCCATAAAGTTACGCATCTCTTTAACCATTCATTCACATATTGCTCACCTTTTATACTGCTGCTGAATCAGATCAAATGCATTAATATTATGAACAGCAGCTATGCTAATTATTTCCCATCTGCCTTTCTGCTGTTATCTCGGGAAGCTTGTCCCGAGAAAATAGGGGTTCGTCAGCTCCAGTTTGTATCCAGCCTCTCACGGAGACTTCAGATGCCCCAACGCCTGTGATGAGAAGACCAACGCCTGTGAAGAGACGACTCAATGCTGGCGATATGTTATGCCCTTACTATTACATGATTAACTAAATGTATTTTTTTCCCTTTTAACTTTCCTGATATACACTTACTGTAAAGCTTCTATTGAAACAATATGTATGTAAGCCAGACTGAGCCTGGGTTCACTCAAGTTTTTATTCTCCATCCAATCTGATGGAGTTTTGGTTCCTTGCCACTGTCGCCTTTTGGCTTGCTTAGTCGGGGATATTTGTTAATAAAATGTGCAAACAACATGCAGTGTATATAAATTCTTTTATATAGTTAATACTGTGTGACGTGTGTTTGACCATGTGATGAGTGTGTTTTTCTTGTGAAAACAGTTTCAAGTTAATAAAGTGTGCAAACAACATGCAGTGTGTCCTCACTTTCTCTGCTGTGCTAAAATGTCTGTATTTAACTCAAATCTCAAGCTTTCTTTCTTTCTTTCTTTTTTTTTTGCATCAAATTAAACAGTGAGTTCTGTACTTCTCAGTGCTGATAATCATTAAGCTTTAATTGGTCAGAGAAGTGAAGAGACCACCTCAAACTGTGCAGTGTATGTTATTTTCTGCCGGTAATTTCATGTTTCTCACACCAAAATGTCTTTTATTCTGCCAATTCACGAGATGTTGACATGTATTTTACTTCAAAATAAAGCTGAGTATGTGTCCTTTCATAATCCAACACTTATCTGGCTTTATCATGTTCATAGAGTGAATGAGACCTCATCAGGTTAGCTGACCTACAATTTTTTTAGCTGACCTAAAAAATCTGGGAGTAGTTTACCGTTGAATCCCAGGCCTTTGTCGTCACTGTCTCTGCTGTGCTAAAATGTCTGTATTTAACTCAGATTTATTTGTGCTACTCAATCTGTGTTTACAGCGTGTCCTTGGTAAGCATCTATTTACACATTTTGTGAGAGTAGTTTGTGTCAAGTATGGGCAATTAGGGTAATATCATAGAACATGTCACCACAATGGTTAATGCTTCTCATGATTTGTTTTTGTAGAACATTTTGGTCAGCATCCATTGTCTGGGCCAGGCAAACAAAACAGACGAGGGTCCAAGGAAAAAAGGGTAATCCAAGAAAACAATGCTCAGCACCTGGATGGACAAGCAGGCAGGCTAATCGAATGGCAAGGTATTTATTTCTAGCTTTTATTGGACTAACAAGGACGTTTTCAGTTCTGAAACTAACAGGATATTCTTATAATATGATGACCTCTTAGATGTCAAAAGCTCAAGGAAAATTTGATTTCTCAGTTCATCACCCCTTTAAAATGACTTTCATTCATTACCAGAAAATATAAAGCACCTTGCATTACTATTGTGTATGAGATGTGCTTCAGATTTTCATTCCCTTAGAGCTATATTCCGCACCATATGAACAGTCATTTTCAAAAATCCATGATAGGGGCTCTTTAGAGTCATTGAAATGCTCACAAAGGAATCAATTCGTTTTATAACGACTATCTGATTCCTGACCTCAAGATTTTCGATTCCCAACCCTACAGTTGAGTGAGGCATGCGTTAATGATTGTGGTATCCTTACAGGAGTGTTAACCTTCTCTCTGTCTCTGTAGCGGCAATGAACTTCTCCACCTCCAGCAGTGAGAGCAGCTGCGGTACACCAATGACGTACATCAATGACAAGCCTCCGTTCACCAGCCACTTCCGCAAACCCAGAGTTCAGTTTTTAGAGCTGGACAGTGAGTCCGGCGGCTCGTACAGGTACAGGAGGTGTCCTTCCTGCTTCATTGTAATAATAATAATAATAATAAGACCATATTGAACAGAATTACCTGAACTATGAGGTCTGGGAGGTCAGCCATCATATGAGAGAGGTCTTCTTTCAGTGCCAAGATTTTGGTCATCAGGATTTCAAGGGTAGGTTGAAGGATGCCACAGAAACATTCATCTTCACCTTGAAGTATATCCAGTGCCATACAGACAGGCTTCGGAACCTTGCAATATTCTTTAAGGAACTGATACTCTCTCTCCGTAATGCATCTGATGTCCAGGCGAGTGCAAAGTTGATTGAGGTCAACTAAGTGCATGTCTGTGACTCTGCTAAGAGCATCATAAAACGAGTTCCACCTTGTAGATGAAGGGACCAGCAACTTTCTTTTGCTAAATTCTTCCAGGCTCTCTGATGCCACAGTCGATCGACTAACTTTAGACCACAAAGCTGAACATTTTCCAGTTGCACTTCTGTACAGTGCTTTGCAATCTGCCTTCGCCGTCAAAAATTTAACTATGTCGTTTGTGCATATAAGGTTAAGGGTATGCGATGCACACCGGTGATGTGGAGGGAGAACGTACCGTTCGCTGGACTCAACGTCATCTCGTAAAACTGCGTGCAAGTCCGTAAAACTGACCTCGTCTTCATCATTCTCTGTTTCGTTATCATCTTCAGCTTGAAACATTCTAAATGCCTTAACGAAGTTCGAGCCATTGTCAGTGACCGTGGCAGTTATCTTACCACAAAGAGCAAATGAGCTGTGAATTTGCTCTAACTCTGCTGCGATGGTATCGTACGTGTGTCTCCCACGAAATCGTCTGCAGGCGATTGCAGCTTTTTTACGATGCAGAAGAGCGGGATCTATCCAGTGTACTGTAATGCCAAGAAAACTTTTATTCTGAGCAGTCCATAGATCTGCAGTGGTTGAAACATATTCCAAATCGGCAAAAGACTTCTTTTTAGTTCGGTCTCCATTTCCATATATGCATTGTCCAAAAAACTTGCAAAAGTTTTACGATCGGGCAGCACGGCTCCCGGCTTTTTCCCTGTCACAGGGATTTTGCTGACGATATTTCTAAAAGTGGGCGCCTCCACAGTAGACAGCGGCTGCATCTCCTCAACAATAAAAGCAGCGACCAATTTGTTGAGTTCAGTGGAACTAATTGTTTTAGCTGGTGATGATGAACTGAAATCAAGCTTTTGTTGTTTAGCTTGAGGCGGGGATGCAGGTATCATTCGCCGGCGCTCTCTCTTCCAACTCTGCAGTGCTGTGCTTTGCGTGCAGATGTTTTTTTAAATTTGATGTGGTGTTTTTTGTTTTTGTGTGTGTGTGTGTGTACTGTCACTTTAAGAGCTGCATGGATCCAATAGGTGGTTTGCAGTCACGTGATTGTGTTGACGCGCGGAATGCAGATGGGGGGGCAAGGAGTGAAGAGCGCAATGGACGCTATTACAAGAGAAATATATCAACAGAAAATTGAGACATATGTTGGACGTGATCCTTACGTTATGAAGAGGACCGATTTTCAACTGAATTGAGAGATTTGCCTGCCATCGAGGCTGTAGATATCGGCAACTAATGGCGCTTTTCCACTGCATAGTACGGTTCGGTACGGCTCACTTGTGGTGCTTTTCCACTGCATGGTACGGTACAGTACGGTTCGCTTCAGGTCGCTTTAAATGGTACCTGGTCTGTTGAGGTTCCAAGCGTACCGTACCGGTACTAAAATGTGACGTGAAACACTGCAGATCACTGATTGGTCAGACAGAATCGTCATTCCCTGTGTCACTACTAGCGTCATTGGATTTGCGACACGAGACACTTTTTTAGCAGTATTTTTGTTTTGCTGCAATCAGCCTCATTTTAAACACATTTTTCCGTCTAGCAGTTAAAAACAACCACATACCGAGAATCAGGAACACCATCCCCTCGATAGTCTCCATTGTTCCTGTGTTGTGGGTTTGAAAATGTGGCGCATTTAAGATGATGTCATGGCAGTAGAGGCGCGCGCAAATAACGATCAGTCCCACACACTTTGAAGGGGTACTACTGCAGTGGAAACGCAAAGCGATCCGAACTGTTCCGCGCTGAGTCGAAGCGTACTGAGCCGAACCGTACCGTACTATGCAGTGGAAAAGCGCCATAACTCGTCTTACAGACATACTTTGACTTTACGAAGTTCGGAAACTAGTCTGGTACGTTTCACAAACAGCCACTTAAGTGTATTTAAATACCTGAATAATGTAATTATAAGCCACATAAATAATGTATTATCTCACATTTGATGAAGTGATCACTGCGCGCACACACACACACACACACACTCACTGGCATTTTCCCATTTGGCTTTTCCCGACCGCAGACGAGGGTTTGCAAAGCATTTTTCCCGGTGTTTTTCTGTCAATTTCTTGTATTTTCCCCCCTTATGAACAACAACTTTGGCCACACGATAAAAACTCCTTGTGGTTTGATCGATCTGAGCAACCGTAAACGACGCCAAACATAGGCATTTTGAGTGTGTTATAGTGCTTCCTAAATATAGAAAATCACTTCCTGCCCTCCATCTGCGTTTCGCGCCGTGGCAAC